TACACGTAAGGCCCTCAATCCAGAGAGAAGGCGACTGACACTAGACAGACAGGGAAAAACGGAATATTCTCCTTGGTCTCCAGCCTTTAATCATCCCGAACAGGACATGTTTGACGTCCAGTTTTTCCTACATTATTTTTAAGTCTGCAGGGAAAGCAGCCTGGAAAAAGAGGACCTCATTTACATAAACACACTAAAATATGGAGCAAACAGACCCCTCCCTGTCCCACTGAACCCTACATGTAACATGATTTTTCCTGGCCTGTTTCCTAGCTATGGATCCATCTGGAGACCAAGTTGTTACTGCTTTCGCTGATCAAAAATAGGAATGCTGTAATTAAGTGGCAAGAGGGTTTAGCTGTGCAAAGCAAGTTACCAAGTCAAACTTACCTTTCAAAGTCCAGCATCCCACAGCAAGCTTAGGATAGAAACCTAAATGTCGGTTACCTGGCTCAGGCCACCCTTTATGCCTCTTTCATCATGTCCTTAAGGATCCATTTAACATTTAATTTTACCTTCTGGCCTCTTGCTGTCATGAAAGCAGAAACAGGACTCACCTGCTATATTACCTATGACCTAGAACAATACCTGGCCCTTGGCAGGGACTTAGTGTGAGGTTTGTCTCCTGGGCTGACTCCCAGCAGGGAGCAGGGCAAATAATGAAGGAAGAAGGGAAGAATTATCTCTATCAGACTTTGCAAGGGAGTAGGATGGAGATGAGACAGAATTACAAGGGGGCCCCTCATCACAATCAAGGGCTGGCTGTGGCACATGATCCACTTTGACTGGCCATGGACATCCAGAGTCAAGTTAAAAAGACCTGGCCTGGTATTCCAGAAGCTGAATAGCATAACCACACTTATGACGCCAGCATTTCCCTATTTCCCAACACCTTTGATGCCAGCTGACATTTGCTTTAATCTCATTAGAGAAATAAATGATGTCACCATAGCAGTTCTCTCAAAACAGCAAGGAAGCCAGCCCATTCCAAAATGGGCCAGATTCAGTATTACATAAGTCTTGATGCTTTGGGCAAATACCACATTTTCAAAAGTCTGGCTGAGACACAGTGAATTAATGGAAAAAGCACTCAGCAGAGAGATAGGGAATATGGGTTTTGATTTCAGCTCTGCTACCAAATTTTTGTCCTTGGGCGAGTCACTCCACTGCTCTGGGCCTTATTTTCCACTTCTGTAAAATGAGAGTGCTATCCTGAAGGAGACAGGAGTACCTTTCAGTTCCCAAATCACACAATCTCCCCAGGAGCCCTAACAGTCTTTCTTCTCCCTGCTGTCCCTTCAACGTCACTCTCCTCTGGCCACTGATGCAAACACTGCCCTTCCTCCGCGCTTTCTCAGTGTGGACGCTCCACGTTAAAAAAGAAAAATCTGTTCTTTAATGGTTTATCAACTTGAAACCATGCCTTGTATTTAAACACTTGTTCAGCTACCTTGGGTCTGAACATGGACATGATCGCAGGATGTTTTATTCTTCCTATGTAGGATGTTAGCTCCTTAGAGGAAAACAGCGAGAGTTTTATGTTCCCTATATACACCTAGCACAGTGTCGGGCCCATCACGGGTGCTCAGGTAGGGCTTCCCAGTCTCACCAGAGGGAGGTACAGAAATACTCGGGATTAGCGGCATTACACGGGTATGCTCCAAACCTTGGATGACCGACTCAACCACAACTCAGCTACCATCCAAGTCCGTCCTTTCTTGTTAAGGGATACCTTACTGCAAGGTCGGCTGGGATTGATTTACCTGATTATGGGCAGTGCTACCTTATAGCTCTGAAAACTCCTGAATAAGTAAATACCTGCTTCGGTAGGACTTGTAAAGTTGCAGAGACTTTGCGAAGATGATGGGCAATAGCTCCCTTGGATTTGTGCTCCAGAGACTTACAGACACCTCTCTCCAGAGGTACAATGAGACTCAAAGGCCCCAAAGTACAAGATACTGCCTATCCAACCCATCTCCTCTGTTAGAGTTTACTTAGGCCTTCTACAATGCACGGTGATTCAGCCTATAGATGGCTTCGGGGCAGAAGCGGCCCTAGAGTCTTTCATTTCAGTTTGAAAGAAAGGATTTTAAAGTTGAGAGAACAAATCTGTAAGCAGAAGAGCCTCATGCAAAATCCATAACCAAGTGAGCCTCCTAAGCCTCACCTGAAAGGTTTTTAAAGTTGATGGAAAAAAAATCCATACTCAAGAGAGCCTCATGTAGGTGTTCGGGTTTTTTTTAAACAGAATCTCCCATCTGGGTCTCAAAGGGTCCCCAAGTTGAAGTCCACATCGACTAGGACTGTAACCACCTGCATTCTCTCACAAATGAGCCTTGAGAGCTCATTTGGAGGGGTTTAGCCCCTGGTTTGTTCTCTGGCCAAATAGGGTTGTCCCATAACTAAGAGGTCACCTCTTGGGTCCATGACACAGCTCTTTGAGGCTGGTGAGGAGGGAAGGGCCTTGTCCAGGGCAGGCAAATCTAGTCAAATGAATTCGGTTTCAATGGTGTGGCAGATGGGCGGCTGACTTGCTCTCCATCCCCATTTTGGGGGCAGGGATGGGTGTCAGGGAGGTTGAACACCACAGACCCTGACGGAGCTGGCCATAGTCACCCTCTCAGACCAAGAGCTCCAGTGTCCTTCCTAGAAACAAGACTCTTTCAGTGTTATTTTATGTATAGAAAGAGTGATTATTTGAGACTTGAATACAGAAACTGACAAGCCAGGCCAAATGAAGGCTTAAAAAAAATGGAGACTTTGTTAATTTTATATTTAAAAGTTTAAGGCAGTTTCACTGTATTTTCATTTAAAGTTTTTTTTTTTTTTAATGCTATTGCTTCCCCTCCTCCCTGGCTGTCCAAAATGACATACTAAAAACCAATTCATAATTTATCTTCAGATATACTCACAAAAACGTGAACAAAGATGTATGTACAAGGATGTTAACTGACGCATTATTTTTAATACTAGAAAAACAGAACAAAACTGTGTATTCATTAATAGCAAACTGATGAAATCAGGCATGAATGCATCCACACCACAGAATACAAGAGCCAAAAGGAATGACATAATCCTATACTCAGGACCTGAAAGATGCCTGCAACATATTACATTAAAACAAAAAATACTCCATGCATAAATGGCAGAACAGTATATGTCACGATTCCATTTGGGAGAATATAGTATGTCTGTGTATAAAGTACATATGATTGTATCTACACAGGAAAGCTCTAGAAGGACATTCACTGACCTAAACCATAGCTTTCTCTGGAGGATGGAGCAGGGTATCTATCCTTGGAGAGGAAGGGACCCTTTTAACACATACAATTCTACCCTGTTAAATTTTTTTTATGAGTATGTATTGCTTTTTCAATTGGTCCTCAGGTGCTAGCACTGGGTTAACATTATCATAATTGATCCATGCATGGCCCACTTTTACAAAGTCAACCAGATAGTCTTAATAATAAAGCACTTTGAACTCACAACGCTAAATAAAATTTAGATCCTTGAGAATAACTTAGATCTAACTCTAGGATTCTCCCTGCCATCATATTGGCTTTCTTCCCAGCAACCACCAGCCCAAATCCCACATTTGTTATTACTTGTGTAATTAATAAGTAAAATATGACAAATCAATATGTGCAGTTTGTTTTCCTTTTAAATTCATTGCTCTTCAATCAAACACCACAAATTTAATTCTAAGCTTTTCTTTGCACATAGGGGAACCCCAACTGCCATTTTTCCGGTGATGCAATGTTAATCACCCTGCTGGCCACAATGGGTCATCATGGCACTAACTTCCCACAGGGAAACTCCAGAAGCCCAGAGAGAAACATTTTCATTACAGATCATTTCCCTAAAAGCCAAGTAAATCCACGGCTGATTCGAATCTGTGCTCACTAGGTAATTAAGAAAATTTCTAGGTGATCAGAGCAGGTTTTCCCTCTAGGTACAATGTAGGTATTTAGTGACACTAGGTAATGGTCTCTTTAATATATAGGGTTTCTCAGCCTCGAACCAAACAGAGAAGCTTTAACTACTACATTTTAAGAGATAATACAGGGTAGGAGAGTGCTAGTAGACACGGAAAGTAGGAAATTAAGTCGATCTCTATAATATAATCCAGATTATTTGAAACCTTCTTCCTACTTTATCCTAGGGTATCCATTTTTATGCTCTTTGATTCTACAAATTCTGAGCCTCCATTTAAAATTAAATCTAACATTCTGCATTTGGGAAATACACTGCATTACTAGGTAAGCTTTTCTAGTTTGAGTTGAAGCCATACTTACTGATAAGGAAATGCTTTTCCAAGTATGATGTCTTTCACATCTATCTTGTGAAAACCACTTGCCAACTGTGCGAACAGGCCTGACTCTAGTCTTACCATTCTACAAAAAGAAAATTCTCAAACTAAAATCACAGAAGCCAGCAGGATCAGAAAGTCTCCTCTGGGTTTACTAAGGCCGGCTTCTTCCAAATAAAAACTATAATTAAATGGATTCTCAGCTACCAACATTTAATTAACACGAGCAGATAATCCAAAATGGCAAAGCAGCCAGAATTACTGGTATTCAGAGTATATTTTTATAATTGAACAAGACAGCATCTCATGTTCTTGACTCTGCTAGGCGGAGGCTACCAAGAAGGAATGGCTGGGCTAGAGCCCCCTCTCTGCCCGCCCACTCACCTCCCCCAGCTCACCAGCTAGTGCTGGGAACCGATCCCACCATGCATAGACCCCACTACTCCTCTCTCTCAAAACGTGCTGTAGTTTCCAAGGCGAGAAGGGACTGAATATTTTGTCTTTCCTGCAGCCGGCTCGCAGACTATACACAGAGAGGGTAAATAGTATCAAAAGCCTTGTGGGTCCGAGTTCAGCTGTATCAGTGAGAAAGGTAGCCGAGGTACCTGCACGCAATAAAAACCAATCCTGGCTTTACAGGTGCCCGTACCCCGGGGGGAGGTGCTTAAAGGGATGGCGCAGCACCACTTACTCCTCCTTCCGCAGCAGCTCCTCCTCGGACTCGGTCAGGCGCTGCCTGAGCGCAGCGATCATCTCCACCGCCACGTCCACCTGGCGGTTCAGGACCCGCTCTCTCCTCTGCACCTCCTGCTTTTTCTGCGTTAGCTGCACAAAGGCCGCCCGAACTTCCAACAGTTCGGCAGTTTTCTGGGCCAACTCTTTGGTGAGCTTATCGATTCTCTTCTCGATGGTCCTGTCCACGGCCTCGACCATCCGGTTGAATTTTTCTCGGACATGAGCCTCGAAAGCGGCTTTGGTGTCCGGGGTGGGCAGTCCGGGACTGGAGCGCGGCCCCTCCAGCGAGTCTGCACGCAGGTCCAGCGCCGTGTAGGTCTGCACGTAGGACACCGGCCGCTCGGCCACCACCTCGAATGGCTTCCTGTCTTTGGAGTGTTCGTGCGAGATGCTGTACAAGTTCACATAGCTGGGTTTCTGCTTCACCACGTGGCCGGTGCCCTGCAGTTTTCCCTGCTTCAGGGGTTCTGAGGAAGTGACTAGGTCTGTGTCTTTGAAGGATGGAAAGAGGCTGCATTTGGTCAAGAGGGTTCTTTCCTGGTAGCTGTGACTGAATTCCAGATGGGCCCTCAACGAGGACAGACTTCTAAATCTGGTATGGTCTCCACACCTTGGGCAGCGGAATGGCAGGCACACAGCAACATTCTCGAAGGACTCCTGCCAGGGGTATCTGCTTTCCTCAAAAGCCTTCTGTTGCATTACTCTTCAAGTCCTGAACAGGGCAACATAAAACAGATAGTTCACACGTCTGTTTAAAAAATGCTCCTGAAACACTTGTGGCCCATTCATCAACACCACGGCAGAGGCCTTTGGCTTCAAATGCCTTTGGTAATATAATATCTCACATTAAAATTAAAACCTACAATCCGTGGGCCAAATCCAGCCGCATTCACTCCTTTCTGTGTTGCCTACTGCTGCTTTTGCACTAAAGGCAAAGGTGAGTGACCTCTGCAGCCTGCAAAGCCAAAATGACTTACTCCTTGGCCTTTAGGAAAAAGCCTGCCAGCCTCCCCTCCCCCTGCTCACGATAAAGAAGGTGGATAACATTTTCTTTTTGCAGATGAGAAAACTGGAGCAAGGAGGTAAAGTAATGAATTCAAAGCCAGATGGAACGTGGCAGCTCCAGAAGTGAAATTCAAGTTTCTTGCCCTCCCGAATTGAGTGCACTAACTGCAAATCTGTGCCCTATTTTACTGATACAATCCTGATAAGCATGAATTCCAAAAATGAGGAAGACTCACATGAATTGGCAAAACTGTCCTGAGAGAGCGAGTTCAGCGATCTTTCTTCAAACATAAGAATGATATTACTCAAGCTAGGTGCAGTGGCATTAAACACAGAATCAGCTGGAAATTTTTCAACCTGAGATTTTGCTTTTAGTTATTGCTGTGATGCCAGAAATCAAAATGTTATTGTAATGACAGTCTCCATATTCCAGAATTACTGACATTTGGGAACTCAAGATATCAAATATGTTTTGACCCAGTAGGGGCCATGGCCATGGCCAAGACTTTATAAAGATATGGTTTTCTGAATGATTTATCTCATCTCTGATCCTGTTTTAATATGATAACCTTTAGAGATGGCCAATATGTGAACCTGGCAGGTATCAGCGTAAGTCTTTCAATAACAGGAAGTTCTTATTTCCTTGTAAGAATTTATTATCTTAGCCCTAGCAACAGATGACTGCTAGCAACCCTATTCTGCAAGGGGGGCATACCTATTCCCTCCAGGAATGGCTTCTATTTAAATGTTAACAAGCCTTGGGCCCCCAAAAGAGGAAGCTCAGCTAAGGGTCTATACCTGGAAAGTGGTGTTATTGGAACCTCAACCTCTTCGAAAAGCAGAGGCCCAAACTGTCCCCAGCCAGCTAGGCAAAGCCTCCAGGTTAATAAGCCTCTGGCCCCCCAGAGAGGAAAACCTCTTCCTGTGCTACTCCGGGCTGTAAGAGATAGGCTGCAAACCCTGGCCGAAAAGGCAGCAGAGAGGTGAAGGCAGGGGAAGTCTGGATTCCAGGCGGCAATGGAAAAGGGTTGGCATCCCTGAATGGGGAAATGGGTAATCACACACTCTGGGAGTACTCATGCTTTCAAGGGCCCAGCGGAAACCCCAATCCACAAGGTTGGCGGAAAAGCCCTAATTTCCTCTGCCCGCCCTGGGCAGTCTGGCAAAGACGCTGCCCCGAGGGTCCCGGCTCTCCCCGCCCCCGCACCGCTAAGGGCCAGCCCTCAGGTGCCAGAGTGGATTCGTGCGCGCATGAGTTCCCGCAAGTGGGGGCCGACGGTGCAACTCCCCGCCACGCGGAGAGGACGGGACCCCTCCACAGCCCGGGACCGCTCGGCCGGCCCCCTCTGCCGCGCCCCCCGGGCCGGGCCGCAGGCGCAGAAGCCTAGCCGCCGCCACTTACCCGACTTGTTGCTGCAGCTGCAGCCGCTGCTGCTGCCGCCGCGGCCGGTGCTACTGCTGCGGGAGCAAAGCGGTTTTCAGCAGAGCCGTAAATCAGGCTAAGCCGGGGCCCGCTCCCACCCCCCGCGCACCCTCGCGCGGGGACCCGCGGCGTCCGGGGCGGAGCGTGGCGGGGGCGGTGCGCGCGGCTGCCGGGGACCCGGGCGCCCGAGAGCGGACGCCCCGGGGTGGGGCCTGCGGCGCCGCGGCCCCACGAGCGACACCCCGCTCTGCCCCGCGTGGGGGAGCACCGTCTCCCTGCCCCCAGCCGAGAAGCGGGATGGGGTTCAGGATCCCACTGACATCACGCGGGGAGACGCCGGGATCGCTCCCCGGGGGGAGGGAAGGGGAAAAGCGTGCCAGGCTCGGAGGCGCTGCGCTCTCTGCAGGCCCCGGCCAGCTCTTTTGCACTTTACAGTTACTGGGGAGCGGGAGAGTGTGGATGAGGATGAGGCGCGGCTTGGGTATCTTCGCTAATCTGCCGGCAGGAAGGTCCGGTGGTTCATTTTAGGACCTCTTCTTCCTAAGCAACGGGAACGAGAATGTCCCCGAATAACCTAGAGTCTCCTCTAGCCTTACCAGCCGAGCATCCTGGAGCTATGTTAACAGGCAGAACTAAATCTAGTGAAGTATGTGGGTTGTGAATAAATAAAGCGAGAAGACCCCCCCCCCCACGCCCTCTCCCGGATCTGTGAGGGACACGCCTTCTCCCTCCGGGTGTCCTCAGGCATCCAGTCCCCGCCCCTCCCCGCAGGAGCGTAGATCTCTCATCCTACGGAGATTTCTTTCCTTCAGAAAGACCCTGATGACTCAGCATCTTATTTTAACCTGTTTCAGGGTATTCCTGGTCTAACTCTTGAAGTATGAAACCAGGGTAAAAGTTACTGTTGGGTTTTCTTATTAGAAAGAGAGATTCTGTTCATCCATATAGTTATTTCAATGCATCTTCTCGACTCCTAAGGGTGTCTCTGTTCTCAGAGCTTCCCATACTGCTCCTTTCAACGCTGATTTTATTTCAGCTGTGAATACCTCAATGACTATCTTAGATTTTGTTTGTTTATGTAATTAAGAGCCCAAGCTCTGGAGTCAGACATGATTCAAATCCTAATGCTGGGATTCAAATCCTGACTCCTAGGATCTGCATCAAGTTGGACTTTTCTGTCTTGGATTTCTCATCTGTGAAAGAGATAGTGGGGAACTACCTTCTACTTGGGTGATGAGGATCAAATGAGGTTGTGAGGGTAAAACACTCTCTCTGATCCAGAACAACACTGATAAAATCAGCTCTGGTTATTTCAGGTACAAGAGAGGAGCCTACACATCTATTAAAAAAAAAAAAAAAAAAAAAAAAGAGAAGGGGAACTAAATATGCACTCACTTCCACATAAAGGGTGGGTAGGCTGTTGTGCTGGGGTGCATTCTCTTTGAAAAGATTATATTTCATTGAATTCATCCGATGACCATCTCAAAAATGTTTATTTCAAAAACCAATTAGTAAAATATTTTTAAGTGTGAAATGTACATGTAATGGAGGGCAATCTCATCTTGGTCATCTAGTGGATGGGAGGAGCATACAGGGTAAGCCTCTCTCAGGGGCTGCCTGCCTTAGAACAAAATAGACCAAATGCAGCCCTTGAGGAAAAAAAAGCTCTGGGGTTCAGGCCCCTCCCATTTCTAAGCTCCCTGCTAAGCCTCCCATTTCTTAGCTCCCTGCTTAGCTCCCTGGTCCTTGAGTTCCTCCCCTGTAAAAATAAAAGGATAGGGATTTTCAATGTCCTCTTTTCACCCTAAAAGTATCAAGGAGAGTATCAAATAATTATGGAGAGGTTGTATTATGTACGGATTAGAGTTGAGCACTGTGGGAAATTCAACTTTGATAGACATTCAGGACCTTAGAGTTACACCACTTGCTCTCAAGGGGTATCCTCCCACTTCCAACCAGCAGCGTGAGCATTAGTTTGTAACTAGTTAGAAATGCAAATTACGTGCCTCGCACCAAACATCCGAAACTCTGAAGTGGGAGCAGGCATTCTGTGGTTTAACAAGTTCTGCAGGTAATTCTACTGAACACTAGTTTTGAGAACCTCTCATTTACACAGTACTTCTTCATTTACTGTCTACAACAAACCAAAAGGTGTACTATCTCCATGATCATTGTGTTTATGCTGGGCACTGCGCTAAGCATTTTATTATCTCATTTAATCTTGCCAACACCTGCGAAGGAGAGGGGACCCTGTGCACTTGGTTTCAGCCACACTGGTATTGCTTTTCTCCTCCAAGTGCTCAGTTTTTCCATCTCAGGTCCTTCTTTTCTGGATAATGCCTACTTATCTGTCAGGGCTCAGCTTCCGTGGTCCCATTCCTAGGAGGTCTGCCCTGATCCTGTCCAGCCAATTAGCTCCTGCTAGTAAAATTTATTACAGCAGAGTTTATCACAATGGAAAAATTTGTAGAGTTACCTATTTAATATTTACGTCCATTATTAAATCATAAGCTACATGAGTCAGGGACTCTGTCCTACTTCCCAGCATATTTGCAGTACATATTATGGTGTGAGCACAAAGGGCTCAGTAAATATTTTTTGAAGGAATAAATGTTGAAACAAATTCCCTTTCTATTTAAGGGGAAGCTGAGGCTCAAAAAAGTTAAGTAACGTTCCCAAGATGACATACCTGGAAAGGATTAGAGCAAGGACTCCAAACTCCAGATTTTAACCACTATTCTCACAGTCTTTCCAATTTCTGACAAATAAAATAAAATTCTGAGAGAGAAAATGACTTGCCTGAAGTCATATAGCCAGTAAGTAATAGAATCAGGATTAGAATCCATGTCTTCTAATATGTATGTTCTTTTATACTACATTATGCTATTTTATACTGCCCTTCGGGATCTTACAGCTAGTGGGATGGACAAGATATATCTATATATATATATAGATAGATACCTATCTATATATATTTCTTTTACTACTATGTATATTTCTTTTACTACTATGTATATAGGGATTTTCAATGTCCTCTTTGTATGTACCACTATGTATATAGTAGTAAAAGAAATTAAGTAGGACATATCTACAGGGCTTGGAATCGTGCCAGGTACATAGTAGATGTTCAATAAATGACTACTGAATGAATAATGATCATAGCTTCCACCTTTGGAATATTTACAACATGTTTCCTGCTAAGTGTTTATGAGGATATCTAATGCTTCTCAGAGTAGGGTTCTTGAAGTCTGGGAAGCTTGTTAAAATGCAGATGTCTGGAGTTT